TCTATTCTGGAGAATGTTCTATGTGCGTTGGAAAAGAAAGTATACTTGGCTGCTGTTGGGTGGAGTGTTCAGTATACGTCTGTGAGCTCAAGTTGGTTGATTGTGGCATTTAGATCTTCCTTGTCTTTATTGAGCTGCTTTCTGGAAGTTCTGTCCTTCACCAAAAGTGGTGTGTTGAAGTATCCTACTATTATTGTGGAGCTGTCTGTCTCTCTTTTCAGTGCTGTTAGAGTTTATGTATTTTGGAGCTCTGTCGTTGGGTGGGTAAATATTTATTATGGTTATGTCTTTCTGATGTATTGACCCTTTAATCATTATATTATGTCTTTCCTTATCCTTTGCGGTGGATTTTACTTTAAAGTCTATTTTGTCAGAGATTAATATTGTCACTGTTACTCTGTTTAGAGTGTTGGTTGCTTGATATATTTTTCTCCATCCTTTGAATTTTAGTTTGTGTCCTTAAGTCTAAGGTTTGTCTCTTGTAGGCAGCATATAGACTGATCGTGTTTTTTTAATCCATTCTGTCACTTGTCTCTTTATTGGTGCATTTAGTCGATTTAAATTCAGCATAGTTATTGATATGTATGAGTTTAGTTCTGTCATTTAGATGTCTTTTTTTTTTTAGTGTTGTTGACAGTTTCTTTGTTTCATTTAATTTTCTGTGCTTAGTCATTTTTCTTTATGTGTTTTTTTTTCGTCTTTTTTATTGTTGTTAATTTTGAATTTGCTGAGTCTTTATGTTTTTCTTGTTTTTTCATTTTGATGTGTAGGATTGTTAGTTTCCTTTGTGGTTCCCTTAATATTTACCCCTATTTTTCTAAGTTTAAACTATTCTTTTATTTATATCACCTTGACTTCCTCTCCCTATGAAAGATCTATGACTACATTTTTTAGTCCTGCTTATTTGTTTTAATGTTGTCATCTTTTATGTATTTTCAGCATTTTAGCTTTGATTTGTTTTTGTGACTTCCCTATCTGGGTTGATATCTGGTTGCTCTGTCCTGTGTTCTAGTCTTGGGTTGTTATCTGATGTTATTGATTTTCTAAACGGAGGACTCCTTTTAGTATTTCTTGTAATTTTGGTTTGGTTTTTGCAGATTCCCTAAACTTTTGTTTATCTGGAAATGCCCTAATTTTTCCATCATATTTGAGAGACAGTTTTGCTGGATATATAATTCTTGGCTGACAATTTTTTTTCTTTAAGGCTTTATATATGTCATCCCATTGCCTTCTTGCCTTCATGGCTTCTGCTGAGTAGTCCGAGCTTAGTCTTATTGACTCTCGTTTTTAGATGACTTTTCGTTTATCCCTAGGCACTCTTAAAATTCTCTCTTTATCTTTGGTTTTGGCAAGTTTGATTATAATATGTCTTGGTGTCTTTCTTTTGGGATCACCCTTTTGTGGGGTTTGATGAGCATCTTGGTTAGATATCTTCTCATCTTTCACGATATCAGGGAAATTTTCTGCCAAAAATCTTCAACAATTCTCTCCATATTTTCTGTTATTCCCCCCCACTGCGGCCCCCGTTCTGGTACTCCAATCACTCGTAGAGTACACCTGTAATAGAGTCCTACATAATTCTTAGGGTTTCTTCATTTTTTTAAATTATTTTATCTGATTTTTCCTCAAATAAGTTGGTATCAAGTGCTTTATCTTCAGTCTTACTAATTCTGACTTCCATTGCCTCAGTTCTGCTCTTATGACTTTCTGTTGAGTTGTCTAATTCTGAAATTTTATTGTTAATCTTCTGGATTTCTGATTGCTGTCTCTCTGCGGATTCTTGCAGCTATTAAATTTGTCATTATGCTCTTTAATAACCTTCTTAAGATCCTGTATTGCTTTGTTTATATGTTCCTTGGCTTGTTCTGTGTTTTGCCTGATCTCATTCCTGATCTCTTGAAGAGTTCTGTATCTTTCGTATTCTACCTCCAGTAATTCCAAGAAATTCTCTTCCTCTGGAAAAGTTCTTGATTCGTTATTTTGGGAGCTTGCTGAAGCCATCATCGTCTGCCTCTTTATGTGATATGATATTGACTTTTGTCTCCGAGCCATCAATAAGTTATTCTGTTTATTTATTTTATGTTTGCTTACTGTGTCCTCGCTTCTTGTTTTGTTTTGTTTTGATATGCCCAAGTAGGCTGCTTGTGTGAGCTAGTTTGATTATTGGTGTCTTTGAAGCTCTAATGTCCTGTTACCAGGTAGTTAGATCTGTTACTAGGTATGTGAGCCAAGGAATCTATTTATTTTTCTTGTATGAATTCAGCTCAGGTGTCCAGGTAGTCAGTCACCAAAAGTGTGTGGTACAGGCTGTCACCTCCAGTTCTAGACAGGTATAGGTGATTGGTGTAGGCAAGGTGTCTGGCTGCAGTAGGGGGTCACGTGGTGAGCAAGGCAGGGTGCTGACAGCTGCCCCTGAGTGTCTAGGAGGAAAGCGTGTCCCTGTTCCCTGGAGTGCGTAGGTGGGTGGGTTTTGCAGCTGGACTGTGAGCACCCAGTGCTGTTGGCTGTAGGAAGTGGGGGGCACGACTTATTCTTGGACTCCTGTCATGGGTGGCTAGGTGGTATGGGTGGAGCCACCAATCCTTAGGCCCCTGATGTGGGTAGGTGAGGACCCTGCTTAACAGGTAGAGTGGTGTCAAGTGTCATGAACCTGCCACTTCACCATATAGCTGATACAGTTGAAGCCAGGCTTTAGGTATATACCCTGTTGTACTGTGGTAATAAGGGCCTACACTGTTGAAATGGGCCCACGCAGGTCTGTGTAGGGGTGAAAGGCGTTCAGAATCCATGGGCCCCTTCTGCATGTGCCTAGGCAAAGGAGCTGTGCCTACCCTGAATTCCTGGCTTAGGGGAGCTGGCAGGTTATTTTTTCCCTGTTTGTTAATCTGTTCCCTTTCCAAGGCCAGGAGAATGGCTCAGGGCACATGACAAGTCCTACTTCCGGCCCAGAGGACTCAGCAATCACTGAAGCCAGCCTGGGACCTGGTGCAGAGCGGGCAGGGGGCAGGTAAATGGGAGAGAGGTTTTTCCCAAAGGGAGTGTTTTTTAATCCATGCCGTAGGTCAGATGCAAGTACTTATCTTTTGCCAATTAAGCACTGCTTTTCACTGGTTCTGGATGCCCGAGTAGACTCTCTGCTGCTGGTTCTCTCCCAACGTAGAAAATGCCTCCTGAGGCCACTGCTTGCCTCACCGCGCACTCAAGCCAATCCGGTCTGAAGGGTGTTGGCTCCCGTTGGCTCAGGTCTGGCAACTCCTTGCTCCTTCTGAACCATCTCTCCCTCCCCCTGCCAGTCAGTCGGATTCCTCAACTTTGCCTTTGATGTTCAGCGCTCCTAGATTGTTATACGTAATCGATTCACTTGTTTTTTTCCGGTCTTTGTTGTAAGAGGGACCACAGGAAGCATCTGACTCCTCCGCCATTTTTCTCAGTTTTTTTGAGTTGCCAAAAAATGTTAAAAAAATTTTTTTAAATATTGTTTGTGTTGTTGAAACTGAGTATTCAGCTATTCCAGATCAATGAAATGTCACCTAGAGCCAAGAAGAGGTGTTTCTGGTTTTGTTTTAAATATTAACCCTTAATTCCCTTCCCAATTTTTGATGATTGATTCTGCTTTGATAGCAACTTGTGATTGTGCTGAGCTGCCACCCTCAGTGGGAACCTTTCCTACAATATGTGATCCATTGAGTTATTTTATATAGTAGATTGAACTCTGTTCCGTTTTTAGATTTACTTTCTTTTATAGTCGGCCTGAAATCAGCTTGATGGAAATAAGTCCTGATTAGATTGTTCTAGCGTGGTTGTTAGGTGCCATTGAGTTGATTCCAACTCATAGCAACCCTATATGACAGAGTAGAACTGACCCATAGGGTTTTTTAGACTGTAATCTTAATGGGAGCACATCGCCAGGTCTTTCTCCCACGGAGCCACTGGGTGAGTTGGAATCACCGGTCTTTCATTTAGCAACCAAGTGCTTAACCGTTGCACCACTAGGGCTCCTTATTCTGTCATTAGATTAGGTAAAATAAAATTTGATACGTGATAAGCTTGGGCTCCCTTGTGCTGGGTTCTGTGCTAGGCCTCAATTTTAGAGACTCTTCTCTAAGTGAACATGGCTTCTTGAGAGACTTCTTGGAAATGTCTACTCTTCAGGGGCTGTAGTCAGTGTGGTTTTTTCTCAGCTTGCCCTTCTGTGTATACCTTCCCCGTCTTCACCTAAGTAGTTCCTACTCACCTTTTGTCTGTTAGGTCTCAGGTGAGACATTGCTTTCTTTGAGGTATCTTTCCTGTCCACCTAGACCAAATTGTGCCCCCTGCTTCACACCCTATTGTAGCTTCCCATACATATCTCTCATAGCATTTACAACTATTGGTAATCTGGTTTTTGTCCCTACACTCCAGGCCCTATGAGGGCAGGGACTGACTCTGGTGTTTTGGACGGAATCTGTTTTTATCCAACATTGTTCCACATTTGGGACAGTGCCTGACACATAGCAGGGACTCAGTAAGTATTTGTTGAATGAATAAATACAGAAAATCAGTGTCATGGATATTGTTATCACCAACTAGACAGTGTTAAGTTGTAATTTACTTTGCAAAAAATCATCCAGAATCATTCCTACTCTGCTGTTTTTATTCCTTTTTATTCTATTACAGTCCTAGATGCTTTGAGCACAAGCTAGGAATTTGGTCACATTTTAGAGTTATCTGTTCACATTTTGGCAGCAATCTCTCTTCCTAGAGTGTTAGCCCCACAAGGGCGGATATCTTGTCTGTTTTGTTCACCGTATCCATAGTGTCAGGAATATAGGGGGTGCGTAGTCAATATTTGTTCACTGAACGAGTGAATGAAAATCCAACCAATTTAAATTACCTGGAGAGAGAGTCATAATGTTGAGATCACCTTGTGAGGAGTCAGAAAGCAGCAGGGAAATTATTGTTTGAAAAAAGAAATCAGAGCTGGGCTGAAGAGTGCAGCTACTCGCGGTGTGTTCCTGCAGGGCGCCAGCCTTCCCGTGATGGACCTGACCGAGCTCCCCAAGTGCACGGTGTGCCTGGAGCGCATGGACGAGTCCGTGAACGGCATCCTTACCACGTTATGTAACCACAGCTTCCACAGCCAGTGTCTACAGCGCTGGGATGACACAACGTGAGTGCAGAGGCTCCACAGAGCCTATTGGTACCCTTCCCCGGGATTAAAAATAGCCACAACCATAAATTAACCATTGCAGGTATTCAGTTGTATCAGCCTGGGCTCCATGCAGTAAAGCGGTCATATGCAAGTGCCTTCCATTCTTCTTCTTCCTTTTCCTCAGTTCACATGGGTATCTGCATCCTTGGACAGGTCCTTTTTAGTGTGCTGATTCTGAGTCCTTGTGGAATTTTCCAAAGCAGCGTGAGTTGTTCTTTCCTTCCAAGAGCCAGAAAATGGAAAAAAGAAAAAAGTCAGCTTAGCTTTGAGGCTCTCTTGCTAAAACCAAATCTTCATCTGAAATCTCATTTCTCACCTGCACTTGGTGTCTGCCAATTACTTTGTCTTTCTTATCAACTGGACTGCAGCAGCCTAACATTTCTGCAGACAGAGAACTCAGATGTAGCCTGTGCCCTTTTTTTCTTTTTTTTTTAAATCAAGGGTAGTTGTTTCTTTTGCAGACTGCACTGTAAGACTTAGCTAGAAAGTAGATCACACATTGACCTTCACAATACACAGGGAAAGATGGAGAATCAAATAATCTCACAAATAAATGTGAAATCACAGCCATAGCGGGTGTTATGAAGGAGCAGTGTGCAGTGGGATGGCTGGAGGGTCAGCCAAGGTTGTCTGAGAGGTGGCCTTTGGAGCTGAGAACTGAAGATGAGTAGGAGTCAGCCAGGTGGAGAGTGGGATTCGGGAGGAGTCACTGGGCAGGGTGAGGGGGTACACGTGGGAGGGGTAAGAACATTCCAAAGTCCAGAAGTTATGAGGAGTGGAAGTTCACAGGAATCTGTTCTCAACTCACAAGTGGGCCAACAGCTGGGAGGAGACACCACCTCTAAGAGCAGGGACCTGGCCTGTTGGCTTGTTTACTGCTGGGTCCACCTCATGCATGAGCCCTGGTGCGTAGTAGGAGCTCAGTAAATATCGTTGAGCAAATACATAAACCTTGGGTTTTACGGAGCGTGCTTGTGTAACTGGCCAAGAATCTTGTCTCAGTCCCACAGTGTCTTCAGCCAGCCCGTTCTGGAGTATCACTGGGAGTTCTTCAGAGAATCGTCCAAGTGTAAAGTCTTCTTGAATAAAGCCACACCGAGATCTGTGTTTCGCATACAGTGCTTATCTGTATCTTGTGTCCATCTGCCACACCATTCTGGACACTTCTTTGTTCCTTGCCACTCCGGTTTTACTTTCGGTATAGGTTAACTGTCATAGAACCACAGTATTTTGAAGTTGAAAGTTTCCTCAGAGATCATCTTGTCTAACCTCCTCAATTTACAGAGGAGGAAACTGAGGCCCAAAGAGGTGAGCGTTAGCATGCTGAACGTGTCGTGGCCAGAGGGGCAGAACTGGGACTAGAATTCAACCCGTATATAAGGTGTGAGGCATAGCGTTTGCCCTCACAAGCACACAGGTCATCTAGCAAGTGGGTTTTGAGCCTGGGTATGTGGATATTACAGTGCTAGGTACTGAGGGGAAGAATCAAACATGGATCCTCCTCAGGGAAGTTCTATCTACTAAGGGAGTGGAAGCATACACATACGTTCACATGATTCAAGGTAGAGATTGAAGGAGATAGAGTTGAGAAGGCTGCGGGTAGGAGTCAGCATTGGCTCTGAGCCTCAAAGGGTGGTTTTTTCCACATGTGGAGATGTCAGTAATGGCATTCTCGGAGAGTTTCCCCAAAAATCTCCTTGGGAACATAAAAATTCAGACTTATTCTTGGAAGAGGAAACAGGAAGAATTTAATAAACTGTTAATTATTTTTTGATAGATGGTGTATAACAGAGTCCTAATTGTATCATACAAAGAAGTTTATTTGTGTAATTTTTTCCTTTCTTTTTGTTCTCAGGATCAGATTTATATTTCAGAAAGGTCATTCTGGCACTATGTGGAGAATTAGATTTTAGAATTAGCTTCTTGTTTTCTTATCCAGCCACTACCATACAGAGAAAGGATGACACAGAGCTATTTCCCACCTTTGACAAGACTCCTTGCCGCTTGCTAGCTGCCATTTTTTGTTACTCCTTTGAGCTTATGTTCTGTCTTCTCTTTTAATGTTAAAAAAAGAGATAGACTGGATCCTTTAGACTTCTCATTGGAACCGTAGATAGAACTTCCTTACCTGTGACGAGAACTTACTGTTCCTCCTGCTACTTTCCTTTTCTTGGTTTTATTTACTCAGTTGGGCAACAAATTAACCTGATACTCGTTGTGTCTTAAGTATCCTTTCTTGGAGCCAATTCAGTTAGCCTCAACCCTTTAATTACAACCCACTTTCTATTGTTTTTGCTCATCTGACAAAAATATTCATGACTAGTATTAGCATTACTTTGTGTTGAGTATAATAGAAAAGTATTAATGGATTTTTTTCAATGCCATTTTTATTAGTTTTTTGCAAATCACAACTTGAGTACTCACACAGCCCTGGTATCCTCCTTGCATGATAAAATGTCATTAATGAGTATTTCAGGAAGTACATTAACAGTTATGTTTGTTTTTTTAATTTGATAAAATTTGCTACAGATTTTATTTCCAACTCTGAAGAGCAAGCTTGAGGGGATAGGGTACATTTTGAATGATTGAAATCTTTGGGAAATGTAGATAGGGTAGATTCAAGTAAAAACATCTTATGGATAACCAAATATGAAATAATAACCCGTCTCAAGTCCCTCATTCTAACCTGTAAATATTTAGCCCTTTGATTATCTTAGCTTTAGGCGATGGAAAAGAGTATGAGGCCAATCAAGATTCTTTTGCTTTTATGCACATTCTATATTTTTAATTTTGTTTAATAGTAACTTGAAAATGTTTGGCTTCTGAACATTTGAACATCAAAGTGTTTTGTTTTGCTATCCTTAGTTATAATCAACTTAAAAAGAATATAAAAGAGAAGGGAGATAAAAAATTTAGGTTTTGACTTTTGGGCTCTGTAATAGCTGTCTTATATACTTAATCTGTACCGTTGTCTTTTGCTGTCCTGGTAGGTGTCCCGTTTGCCGATACTGTCAAACTCCAGAGCCAGTCGAAGAGAATAAGTGTTTTGAGTGTGGTGTTCAGGAAGTAAGTAACAGGTGCAGGAAAGTAATAATGAACACAGCTTCCATTCTCTGGGGCTTTCTTCGGCCTGGTGTAGCTTAAATTCTTTTAAATTCTTAGACTGAATTTTTAATTTTTTTTTGTCTAGGATCAGGCAAGAAATAATGAATACCCAAATGATTTTACTTCCAAGAAAAGTACTGTATGCTTTTATTCTTTGTTCCTTATAAAGGCCTAGATGTTTGTTGATAAATTGTGAATATTTTTCTTACTATTTACATAGAGCTCCTTAGAAATCAGAGTGAGAAAATGATTTACCCATAAAATCATCCTTGATCGTTGGGCTTGAAACGTGTTTATTCAGAATTCCTGTAGAACCAACTCAAAGTCTGTCTCAGGGCCCTTCCCACCATAAGCGGGCCAGGTCATATATTTTCATTTAACTGATTAAGATCTCACCTTCCTCTTGGCAGAACCTTTGGATTTGTTTAATATGCGGCCACATAGGCTGTGGACGGTATGTAAGCCGACACGCGTATAAGCACTTTGAGGAAACGCAGCACACATATGCCATGCAGCTCACCAACCATCGCGTCTGGGACTATGCTGGAGGTGAACACCGCCCTCACTTTCTAATTCGGAGTCATTCTGTATGGAAACTTCTCCTTCAGAACCTCCCCACTCTCCCTCACAGTGTGAAATATCTTCCTGACAGCTGTTGCAAACTTGAATTCTCACGGTGCCCGAGGGCACTGTTAGCCATGAATGGCCTGAGTCGCACATTAAAAAGAAAGTTCATACTTCCACTCTTGCCCGCTCACTCTCTCTTTAAAATTAAAGTGATTTAGCCCACCTTTAAAGAAATACTGCCAAGGCATTTAATTTTGATCTATAAAAACAATTTTGTCAGAATTAACAGGTATGGAGACCGTTTTCATTTTGAAGAAACAACTTTGGTTGACTCATTCTTTTCTTTAGATAATTATGTCCATCGACTGGTTGCAAGTAAAACAGATGGAAAAATTGTACAGTATGAATGTGAAGGTGATACTTGCCAGGAAGAGAAAATAGATGCCTTACAGCTAGAGGTAAGTTACTGTAGCCACCACTCATACCTATTTGTAGGTAGTACACTTTTTTACCATTCTAATTTGAAAGGTTGTTTAGGATTTTATTTTTCCCATTTACCCTCGTGCAAACTTTTTTTTTTTAAAGTTCTGTCATTGCTGTGAATAATTATTCAAATACTTTTATTCTATCTTTCTGTTTTGAAAGTCTAAGTTTCACTGTGCCTTACTGTTTTCAGTGTGATGTTCCCACTTGTCTCAAGTTCAGGATTATGGTGGTCCTTCGTAGCTGCAGTAAAACTGGAAGTTAAGAATGTTCTTGTTGGCATCACATTGTTGTTTTGGGTGCCGTCAAGTCGATTCTGACTCGTAGTGATCCTATAGGATAGAGTAGAACTGCCCCATAGGGTTTTCTAGGCTATAATCTTTACAGAAGCACATCTTTCTCCTGCCAAGTAGTTAGTGGATTCAGACTGCCAACCTTTCAGTTTATAGCTGAAAACTTAACCATTGTGCCACCAGGGCTCCTGGCATCGCATTACTAAGTGGAAACGGAGCAGACTTGGTCAGAAATGGGGAAAACCCGATAGCATTGTTCTGTGCCCAGGATGCTTTTTCTTACATTTTGGGTTGTCATTTTATGAATTGGAGGCTTGTAACTCAAAGTAGAAGCCCTGGTGGCACAATGATTAAGCACTCAGTTGCTAACCATAAAGTCCCTGCTTCAAACCCATTAGTGGTTCTGTGGCAGAAAAGAACTGGGGATCTGCTCCCATAAAGATCACGGCCTAGGAAACCCAGTGGGGCAATTCTACTCTGTCGTGTGGGGTTGCTATGAGTTAGAATCAACTCGATGACATAAAACAGCAATACTCAAAGTGTGAATTTTATGAATTAGACACAAAGCCATTTTTTGGGTATTCATATACTTGAAGAAACAACAAAATTAACGTTATTTGATTTTTCTCCATAGCAGTAAATCCTGTCTACTTTTACGGTGATACACTATAAATTTTATGTTAATGAAAGGAAAATTTAACATGAGTCCTAATTTTGTATAAACTTCAAACGATATTTTAAAAACAAGTACCTTAACCTTGGGAGGAAATGGACATTTGGAAACTTGCTCATCCCAGTACTCTTAAAGGTCAGATAGTTTCCGTAAAATGGCTTAAAAATAAGGCTGATGTTATTAACCATTAATAAATTATTGTGTTGATGTGAAAAAAGATCAAACCCTTTATGTTAAGTTTTTAGAGTAAGTAGCTCTTCCATGTTGATTTTAAGTATGTACACAAATTTTGTTCTTTCTGCAAATATTTATTGAGGGCTCCTAATTGTCAGCCCCTGTTCCTGGCTCTGGGGATGCAACACTGAACGAGCCTGATGAACTCTGCCCCCATGGAGCACACACCCATTCTTCTGACTGTCCTTTCTCTCTGTTGCACTTTTGATCTCTTCTCTAGCCTGCAAGCAAGTTCAGATCTCTTCTAGTCTTCTGAAATGCATATGTGAGCTTGCCACTCCTCAGCCTTGATTCCCCTTTGCCCACATTTTTCAGCGTAATATTCCAAAGCCTTCCAGTTTAGTCCCAGTTTATCTCCAGCCTTATCTCTCCATACCCTACCCTCCACCCTTATTGGTCTTACTCATCTCTGGAGAGATGAACATTTATAGCTCACATCTTGATCCAGGAGTTCTTTCTGGACTCAGATCTCTCTCCCCTCGTCCTGTTGTCAAGAGCCCTTTTGAATTTCACCTTCTTTCAGGAGTCATACCAGATCCTGCCACCATAAGCCATCTCTCCTCTCCCTGTAGTTACCCAGCACTGTCATTCATTCGTGCAGTTATGTAGCAAACATTTCTTGACATCCACCATGTGCCAGGCACTGGGGGTCTGGGAATAAAGGCATAGTTCTTACTTTTAAGGAGTTCACAAGCCAATCAGGGAGACAGGCTGGTAAACCAGTGATTAAACGCTGGTGTCCTAAGTGCTATTAATTAATCGTGGACAGAGTGCTGAGGGAGCTGAGAAGGACTGGGCGGGACAGGGACAGCTTCCTGGAGGGGAGTAGGGGGATGATTGTTTGCGTTGCACTTTGTTTATAACTGGTATGATTCTTTATACAGTCTGCTTGAAGAGAATCAGTTCTGTTTTGCTTTTTTAATATATGTTTCTCCTCCACTAGCTTTGCAGTCCTAGGAAGTCAGGAGTATAATTGGCATCTCTGTGTCCTCCTGACCCAGTCTGTGTTCCGTGAAGTAGAACCAAGCTGTAATATACATTCTGATGATGACTCCTGCTCATTTGTAGACTATGAAAGGTCCTGTTTTAATTGCATTTCAGAGACTGACAACAGTGACTTACGTTTTGGTATTTATTCTCTGTTTCTAGTATTCGTATTTACTAACAAGCCAGCTGGAATCTCAGCGAATCTACTGGGAAAACAAGATAGTTCGGATAGAGAAGGACACAGCAGAGGAAGTAAGTCTCTGGTTTGGTGACTGTGCTGAAGTGCCATGTGGCAGGGCATTCTGATATTGGGCGAGGAAGGCAGAGCCTGGGAGGAAGGCAGAGCCTGGGAGGAAGGCAGAGCCTGGGAGGAAGGCAGTCTTAGAGTCTACCCCTCTCAGTCTCGTGTACAGGTAGAGAGCTGCTTTGCCTCAGAAGAAACCTGGAGTTTGAAGGCTTGAGTATTTTGGTGTTTGGGGGTTTGGGGAAGGGTTTTCTTTTTAACCTCAATCAGGCTTTCTGGTGCTGTATACAGTCCCATTAAAAAAACAGAAGTATATACATAAGGGTTTGTAATTTGAGTCAGCCAGTTGGTTTGTCAACTTGGGAACAGCTGCTTTGGGCAGCTCATTGTGAGCTTCTGAGGCAGCAAGATGCTGCTGAGCCATTCTACACTGAAGGAAATAAAATCGGGCAGAGACACTGGCGCTTCAGCCGTCACCCTGGTGCCTTATTGGTCTAGGGCAGTGGTTTCTAAATTTTAACAAGAGAATCCTTTAAGGAAGATGCCGCTTGGTACTCCAGCGTAGAAAAGCGGTGTGACGTTGGTGGAGGGCCCAGACATCTAACCACTTGATTTTCCTTTTGTCCCCAGTATGGAACCTTCAGGGTTCCAAAGAAGAGAGCTTGAAAACCAGTGAGCTCTAAACTTCTCTGAGGGTTTGTGTATAATTAGGGCTCTAAGAACCATTCTCAGGACCTGGAGACACTGTCTAATTCATTGCTTTCCTTAGTCTCAAATAAGAGCTTTTTAAAATTAAGATGATGATTTTAGCAACTTTGTGAATTCTCATCAGTATCCGGGCCTTCAGATGGGACTGCGGAGCAGGGCTTGGGGCTCACCTCTGTGGTAGCCAGGATGACATGGAGCATGGTGGACGGGACCCAGGCTCTCCCTTGATGCCAGGCCCAGGGCCCCACTCTCTGCATGACCAGATATCTTGTGCCTAAAATAAGGAGAAATCAGCTTTTTAAATCAGTGCTTAACACCAGCTTTAAAGTGACCTTTAGTTAAAAGTTCCTGATGAAATCGTTAGAAGAACCTTCCAAGAATGGAAGTGCATTTCCAGAGGTGCTGAGGTCATGTGATTTAGAGTTCTGAATAGGGCTTGATTGGTGTGCCCGTGGAGAAGGACACACACCCCGGAGCCACTCAGTGGGGGGCGGAGCCGCTGCCACTTGATGGTAAGTTATGGACTTGAAGGAGCACCCGCAACTCCACCTCAGCCTGATGTGCTTCATGCAGACTCTGCAAAGGTAACCTCAGCATTTTCTCTGCCCTTGAAGATTTTTAGGATTAACTCTATTCCCTAAAATATGCCAATGAAAAGCAAGTCAAGGGGCAGGGAAGCTACAACTGTGAAAGTCGTATTTACTTTTCTGTAGGAATGAGCTAGAGGCTAGGGCAGCCCCAAGCATAAAGCTTTAAGTGCTTGGCAGGATGTTTGTGTTTTCTAGTAACAAATGTTGTTTATCCACAAGTTAATGGATTGGGTAAGCCTTTGGTTCCTGCCGCTGTCCTCCCTTTTGACCAGTCCTCTGCCCATCTACCTCCAGCAGTGGAGCTGCATGGGGAGAAACAATAACCAACCCTGGGCTTCGCTACAGAGATTCTCCTTCACGGGTCTCTAAGAAGTGAGGGCTGGGGGATGAGGGTGAAATTCATGGTGGATTTAGTATTCTCGCGCCCCTAATGCCTTAGGTGGTGCCATGGTTATGGCATGTGATCAGAGACCTGTTCTAAACAATGAGACTCTTCCCTACTTGAAGAGTCTGAGTTTTCATGGAGCCATGTACACACAGTAGGTGGCCGGTACAGGTGAATTCCCCTGAAGATAACTTTTCTCTAACTTCATATGAATCTGTGTTTTTCTAGCTGTGGACAGTGAAATGAATTTGGTGGGTCACAACTGGTGTTTTCATTAACTAAAATAAATGTAAAGCATCAGAATCTGTCACATTTAATGTTTTGTATGGGGCTTCCCACTGCTTTGTTCCAGCTCCAACCCCTGCTGAGAATTTGCCTTTCTAGCAGGTTCCCAGGAAGTTATACATAAGAATCACCTGGGGATCTTGTTGAAATGTAGATTCTGATTCAGTATATCTGGGGTGGAAATGCAGATTGTCACCAGGGCACTTGTTAGAAATACAAATTCTCAGCAGAGGTTCAAACTGGAACAAACCAGTTCGAAGCCCTGGTCTTGTGAAACTCATTTCAGTACATACGTGTGTGTGTGTGTGTGTGTGTGTGTGTGTGTGTGTGTCAATCATTTTAACATTTGTCTATTGCAATATTGGAAACATTTTTAGGGATACTTGGTGTATTTCATCTGATTTAAACGTATTTGGTTTAAGTATCTTAACTGATCAAAACATATACAGCTTGGTTCCCTTTGATAGTAATTTCTGTTCTTCCCTACAAAAATAGAAGTCAGTTCAAGAGAAGATGTCAAAGGATCTAGTGGTCTCTTATTGTAAAACAATATTGAAGAGAAACATGATACCAAATTAGAATTAGAGCAATTTTAAAACTGTTTTGATTTTTGTGACATAGAGGAATTTTTAGAAATCTCCCTTTGCTTGCATGTTCTTCTAGCTTAATGAAGTTGACTGTAAAGTTGATTTCTACAAAGAAATTATTTTCTTCTTACGAAAAAATGAGTGTTATCAGACATCTGCTGGCCCATATGTAATATGTTTAAAAAGGAAGAGTTAAGAGTGGCTGGGCTTCTTCTGGCCTGGTAGCTGTTGCATACATCACCAGCAGGAACTCTGCTGACGGCCTAGATCTTGTTCGCAGTCACTTTTCCTTTGCTCCAGGGCTGAGGCCTGCAGTGAGTGCAGAGGTGTAGAATTCTGCCGTGGACCCAGGGGTCCCGGATCCACCACACTCCAGCCAGGTGACCACAAGCATACTGCCTCCCCTTTCTCTAAGCCTCAATTTCTGCAGAAAGTTGAGATATTTAACTCAGGATTGTTATAAGAAATAAATGAGACACTACTTTATAAAACACCTAGGCGAAACGGGCCATAGGATTTTTTTTTTTTTAATTGTTTGAACATTTTATTGTGATTTGGGTGAAAACTTACAGAGCAAATTAGTTTTCCATTCAACCATTTATTCACATTTTGTTTTGTGACATTAGTTGTAATCCCCTCAATGTGACAACACTTTACCCCCTTTTCCCTTTGGTTCCCCGTTTCCATTTGCCCATCTTTCCTGCCCCTTCCTGCCTTCTGAACTTTGTTTTTGGGCAAATGCTGCCCTTTTGGTTTCGTATGGCTGATTGTTCTGAGGAGCACTTTCCTCACGGGTGTTATTGTTCACTTTATAGGCCTGTCTGTTGTTTGGCTGAAAGGTGATCTCTAAGAGTGGGTTCAGTTCCAGGTTTGAAGGTGTCTAAGGGCCATAGTCTTGGAGGTTCCACCAGTCCCTATCAGATCAGTAAGCTTGGTCTTTTTTATGAATTTGAATTTTATTCTACATTTTTCTGTCACTCTGTCCAGGATCTTCTATTGTGATCCTGATCAGAGCAGTCAGTAGTGGTAGCTGGGCGCCATCATTTCTGGTCTCAGGCTAGTGGAGGCTGTGGTTCATGTGGTCCATTAGTCCATTGGACTAATTGTTTTCGTGAGTCTTTGATTTTCTGCACTCTTCTTTGCTCTGGAGCAGAAAAGACCAGTAGTTGTATCTTAGGTGGTTGCTTGCAAACTTCTACGAACCCAGTCGCAACTCACCAAAGTAGGATGTAGAACATTGTCTTTATGGACTGTGTTATGCCAAGTGACCTAGATGTCCCCCGAGGCTGTGGTCCTAAGCCCTCAAGCCGTGTTTCATTCACTCAAGGTGTTTGATTATGGCTAAGACGTTTTCATAACTTTGCCCCTGTTTTCTCTACTATATTGCTATTGTTGTTAGGTGCCGTCGAGGTGGTTCCAACTCAAAGTGACCCTTTGTACAACAGAACAAAGCACTGCCCAGTGCTGTGGCATCCTCACAATCTTTGCTGTGCTTGAGCCTAACATTGCAGCCACTGTGACATTTCATCTCATTGAGGGTCTTCCTCTTTTTCACTGACCGTCTATTTTACCAAGTGTAATGTCGTTCTCCAGGGACTGATCTCTCCTGATAACATGTCCAAAGAACATGAGACGAAGTCTCACCATCCTCGCTCTTGGGGGGTGTTTTGACTATACTTCTTCCAAGACAGATTTGTTCGTTCTTCTGGCAGTCCACAGTTCAATTTTCTTCTCCAACACCGTAATTCAAAGAAATCAGTTCTTCTTCCGTCTTCCTTATTAATTGTCCAGTTTTCACATGCATATTAGGCAATTGAAAATACCATGCCTTGGCTCAGGCGCACCTTAGTCCTCAAGATGACATCTTTGCTTTTTAACACTTCAAAGAGGTCTTTTGCAGCAGATTTGCGCAATGCAATGTCATTTGATTTCCTGACTGCTGCTTCCATGGGTGTTAATTGTGGATCCAAGTAAAATGATGTCCTTGACAACTTCAACCTTTTCTCCATTTATCATGATGTTGATTATTGGTCCAGTTGTGAGGATTTTCATTTTCTTTATGTTGAGGTGTAATCCATACTGAAGGCTATAGTCTGGTCTTCATGTAAGTGCAGCCCTCTTTGCTTTCAGCAAGCACAGTTAATGTCATCTGCATATGGCAGGTTGTTAATGAGTCTTCCTCTAGTCCTGATGCTGCACTCCTCTTCACATAGTAACCGGATTATTTGCTCTGCATACAGATCGAGTAAGTATGGTGAAAGGATACAACCCTGACACACACCTTTCCTGATTTTAAACCACACAGTATCCCCTTGTTCTGTTCAAACAGCTGCCTCTTGCTCTGTGTACAGGTTCCTTGTGAGCACAATGAAGTGTTCTGGAATTCCTGTTCTTCTCAGTGTTATCCATAATTTGTCATGATCCACGCAGTGGAGTGTATTTGCATAGTCAATAAAATACAGATAAACATCTCTGTTATTCTCTGCTTTCAGCCGAGATCCATCTGACTTCAGCAGTGATATCCCTCGTTCCATGTCCTCTTCTGAATCTGGCTTGAACTTCTGGCAGCTCTCTTGTGAGTGTACTGCTGCAACTGCTTTTGAATGATCTTCAGCAGAATTTTACTTGTGTGTGATATTAATGATATTGTTCGATAATTTCCCCATTCTGTTGGATCACCTTTCTTTGGAACGGGCACAAATATGGATCTCTTCTAGTCGATTGGCCAGGCACCTGTCTTCCAGATTTCTTCACATAGACGAATGAGCTCCTCCAGCACTGCATCCATTTGTTGAAACATCTTGATTGGTATTCTGTCAGTTCCTGGTGCCTTGTTTTTCGCCAGTGCCTTCAGTGCAGCTTGGACTTCTTCCTTCAGTATCATCAGTTCTTGATCACATGTTATCTTCTGAAATGGTTAAACGTTGACCAATTCTTTTTGGTACAGAGACTGTGTATTCTTTCTGTCTTTTGATCCTGCCTGTGTTGTTCAGTATTTTGCCCACAGAATTCTTCAGTATCACAACTTGAGGCTTGAATTTTTTCTTCAGTTCTTTCAGCTTGAGAAATGCCAAGCGTGTTCTTCCGTTTTGGTTTTCTAACTCCACGTCTTTGCACATTTCATTGTAATACTTTTGTCTTCTTGAACCGCCCTTTGGACTCCTCTGTTCAGCTGTTTTACTGTATCATTTCTTCCATTCACTTTAGCTACTCTGTGTTCTAGATCAAGTTTCAGAGTCTCTTCTGACATCAGTTTTGGTCTTTTCTTTCTTTCCTGTCTTTTTAATGACCTTTTGCTTTCTTCATGTATGATGTCCTTGACGTCATCCCACAACTCATCTGGTCTTCGGTCATTAGCATTGTATTCTTGAGATGGTTTCTAAACTCAGGTGGGAAATATTCAAGGTCATATTTTGGCTCTCATGGACTTATTTTAATTTTCTTCACCTTCAGCTTGCACTTGTGTATGAGCAGTTGATGGTCTGTTCCTGCTCGGCCCCTCGCCTTGTTCTGACTGATGATATTGAGCTTCTTCTTTGTCTCATTCCACAAATGCAGTTGATTTGATTCCTCCGTATTCCTTTCGGTGAGGCCCATGGGTAGCCGCCGTTTATGTTGAAACAAATGCATTTGCAATGAATAAGTCATTGGTCCTGCAAAATTCTGTCGTGATCTCAGGAGTTGTTTTTGTTGCCAAGGCCGTATTTTCCAACTGCTGATCTTTCTTTATTTCCAACTCTGGCATTCCAGTCACCAGTAATTATCAGTGCATCTTGATTGCATATTTATTTGATCAGTTTCAGACTGTAGAAGTTTGTAAAAATCTTCAATTTCTTCATCTTTGGCACTAGTGGTGGGTGCATAAATTTGAATAATAGTCTTATTAACTGATCTTCCTTGTAGGCATATGGATGGTATCCTATCACTGACAGCGTTGTACTTCAGGATAAATGTTGAAATGATGTTCTTTTTGACCATGAATACGACAACATTCCACTTCAATTTGTCATTCTCGGCCTAGTAAACCATATGATTGTCCAATTCAAAGTGGCCAGTATCAGTCCGCTTCAGCTCACTAATGCCTAGGGTATCAATCTTTGTGTGTTCCATTTCATTTTTGACTTCAGTTTTCCTAGATTTGTGCTTCATACATTCCACATTCCAGTTATTAATGGATATTTGCAGCTGTTTCTTCTCATTTTGAGTTTTTCCTCGTCAGCAAATGAAGGTCCTGAAAACTTTACTCCATACACATCATTAAGGTGGACTCTACTTTTAAGTGTCAGCTCTTCCCTGGTCATATTTTGAGTGCCTTCCTACCTTTGGGGCTCATCTTTCAGCACTGTATCAGACGATGTTCTGCTGCTATTAATAAAGTTTTCACTGGCCAGTTTTTTCACAAGTAGACCTATAGGTCCTTCTTCCTCGTGTGTCTTAGTCTGGAACCTCTGCTAAAACTTGTCCACTGTGGGTGACCCTGCTGGTATTTGACATACCAGTGGCATAGCTTCCAGAATCACAGCAACATGCAAGCCACCACAGTACAACAAACTGACAGACAGATGTTGGCTCTACTTTATACACGGGTTTATTTGTAGCACATAAAAATAAAATACATACGTGAAAATATCCTCTGCCAAACCTGCATATGCCATCCCACATCTATTCAGCTTACATATCTAGCTATGTATCCACTCATAAATTATCGTTTTTTATTACTGTTATTGCAGGATTGTGTATGAAATAATATTTACCATTGTTGCCTTTTACTCTTGCATACCTTCCAATGTCTTCCTGTGCGTTGGTCATGTTGTGCTGAAATCAACCCCCCGTATTGTGTATTCCCTTTCCCCTTGCCCAAGTTAATACACGTCTACTGTCTAGTTAGTGATTTTCCTCCCTCCTCCTCCCGTCCCTGGTAACCATCAAAGAATGTTTCTTTCTGTGTATAAACCTTTTTTTTTCCCCCCCTCTTTTGAGTTCTGCACCCCACCTTTCTCCTGCTCCATCAAGGACTCTCTGTTGTGTTCCCTGTCAGGGCGGTCCTTGATGGTCGCTGGGCACCATCTCGTTCTTCTGGTCTCAGGCTGATGGAGTCTCTGGTTTATGTAGCCCTTTCTGTCTCTTGGGCTAATATTTTCCTTGTGTCTTTGGTGTTCTCCATTCTCGTTTGCGCCAAGTGGGTTGGGACTAATTGATGAATCTTAGATGGCCGCTCGCAAGCTTTTAAGACCCCAGATGCCACTCACCAAAGTGGGATGCAGAACATTTTCTTGATAAACTTTGTTATCCCAATTGACCTAGATGTCACCCAAAACCATGGTCCCCAGGATAAAACTTTTCTTGAGTTTTTATAATATTGGTCTCATATAATATTTTCCTTTTGTGATTGACTTATTTCACGCAGCATAATGTCCTCCAGGTTCATCCATGTTGTGAGATGTTTCACAGATTTACCATTATTCCTTTGCTGCGTAGTATTACATTGTATGTATGTACCATAGTTTGTTTATCCATTCATCCATTGATGGGCACTTAGGTTGTTTCTGTCTTTTTGCAATTGTGAATAATGCTGCAGTGAACATGGGAGTGCATACATCTATTTTTGTCACAGCTCTTATTTCTCTAGGATGTACACCTAGTAGTAGTATTGCTGGATCATATGGTATCTCTGTTTCTGACTTTTTAAGGAAGTACCATACCGTTTTCCACAGTGGTTGTACCATTTTCCAATCCTGCCAACAGTGTTTAAGAGTTCCAGTCTCCCCACACCCTTGCCAGCATTTGTTGTTTTCTGTTTTTCTGATCATTGCCATTATTGCTGGGGTGAGATGCTATCTCATTGTCGTTTTTTTTTTTTTGCATCTCTCTAATGGCTAATGATCGAGAGCATCTCTTCATGTATTTGTTGCCGGGCCATAGGATTTAAATGCTCAGTTACTTTCAGCACTTGTTATTACTGCCTCATGGCCCACCCAGCCTCACTACCCACTCCTGCCTAGTCTTCTCCCAGTGTCCTGAGACTAGTGGAGTAGGGGCACTTCCCACCTCCACAATCTCAACCCCCTCCCCACCTGAGTAAATCCAATATCTGCCTGGGTAGACTGCAAACATACAGCATGCTCTCCATTAGAATTGCTGCTATCTGATGCATAATACACCAGAATTCTAAAATTCTCTTCAATTCTGAACACTGTGTCATATGAATTAATCATATACATGGAGCCCTAGTGACGCAGTGGTTTAGCACTCAGCTGCAAACTGAAAGGTCAGCAGTTCAAACGCACCAGCCTCTCTGAGGGAGAACGATATGGCAGTCTGCCTCCATGAAGATTTACAGGCTCGGAAACCCTATGGGGCAGTTCTCTTCTGTTCTACAGGGTCATTATGCGTCAGAATCAATTTGAAAGCAGTAGATTTGTTTTTATATCTATATCCTCTATAAAGAAACTCAACAAAACAAGGACTGTTCATATTCCATATAGCTTTGTGGTACTTTGGAAAATTAATAGTGATTTTAAAAAGAAACGTGACTGGCTAGAATCAGCGATCACAAGTCCCTTAGTGGATAATAATTTACGGAACGTAATCAGGGGGAGAAGAGTGACAGCGAGTTGAAAACGGGAGGCTTGGCCGGGCCTCCTGCACTAGTGCCTGAAGTTCTTCACTTGTGAGCGGTTTTGCTTGATACTCAGCAGCTCGTGAGCCTCTGTTCCCAATATACAGAGAAATAGTAAGAACAGGAGCTCTCAACGTGTTTGTTACTATTACAGAGATTCTTTCAAAGGATTGTCTCACCTTTTCTAAGTTGGCTTGTCAAAGTTGTAAACAGGTTATTGAAAAAATTTTTTTTATAAACATAGCCCCAGAGAGCACAGAACTTTGCCTTTGTGAATGAGTCTGACCTCTCTTTTTCTTTCAGATTAACAACATGAAGACCAAATTTAAAGAAACCATTGAGAAATGTGATAATCTGGAGCACAGATTAAATGATCTCCTAAAAGAAAAGCAGTCCATGGAAAGAAAGTAGGTATAATTGGTCTATTCTCTAAGCTAGCTATCTTATCGTGACAGGCTCTGTAAACAGATATTATCCTTCATTCCTGTGGAAACACCCTCATTTTCAAGCTTCCGCATCAACAGGTTTTCAAAAAGGGGTCTCCCTGTTTGAGGAGCAAATTTATTGTGACTTTTGTTTATTAAAAAAGGAGGTGTTTTCTGCCAGATGGATGCCATGTGGAATGCAGTGCTTACCAGTGTCTGTGTGCTTAGCAGTGGACTCGGGGGCATGCCATTGTGCCTGTCTAAAGTGCCCGGGGCCCGCAGCCCCGCTGAGCCCTGTGGCTGGTACTGGCAGTTAGCAAAGAGGCTGTGCCCCAGCTGGAGATGTCCTGTGCTCTGTCCTGGGGCAGGAATTAAAGGCCATAGATGTTGAATACGGAGCAGCAAACCCACTAACAGCATGGCATCAGCATGCCCCACTACCATAATTGGGGAAGGTCATTGCCGCTAATTGAGATTACCTTTCTGGCTCAAGTTATACCCACAAAGATAGTTGGATTTTTACCTCCGTACAAATGGATGAAAAATGAATTGAAATGAGATCATTGTTCCTCACAAAGATGTTTTTTGTTTTTCTTCAGTAAACCTTTTATTTTGAAGTAAATTTAGATTTACAGAAAACTTGCAAAGATAGTGCAGATTTCTCGTGTGCCCTTCATCCAGTCTCCTCCATTGTTAAGTGGATTTTTTGGGTTTTGTTTTTTTTAAACTGTTGTAAAAACAATACTGCAACATTAATAGAAATAAAAATTAAAATTTTCCTACACTTTCAGCACCCTGACAAATTGAACTGTTAAAAAATTAAAACCGAAAGTTCTGTTTCACCTCCCTTCCCTCCCCGGACCCCAAACAGATCCTGCTATCTAGAGATAGCCATTATTAATAGTAGCAGTTTGGTATTTATCCTTCCAGGTCTTTTACCCTGTCTACATAAACATCTCACATGCATCATCTGTTTTTCCATAAAAATAGAGTAATACTAGGGGCTATCTTTTTTTCTTCGTGTAATTAAATATAATATAGTTACTAAAATAGTCACTATATTACTATATGTATATATAGTTACTAAAATAGTTACTATGTTACTATGTGTATATATATAGTTACTAAAATAATATTCACATAGTGCAATATTCTGTTTCTGAGATTATCTCATATTGCCACACAGAGATCTAGCCTGACCTATGTAAGGGCTTCATGGTATTCCGTCATATGGCTTACCATGATAATTTTCACCAGTTCCCTATTTGTGGACACGTAGGGTGCCTCAAGTGTTCTCCTGCAACAAACAGTGCTGCAATGAGCATCTTTCTCCCTGTGTTTTTCTTTGTTTTTTTGCACAATCCTGAGTATATCTGTTCTGTAGAATAAATTCCTGGAAGCAGAGTAGCAGAGAACATTGGAGTTTGGATTTTTAGAGATATTACAAAAGTGACTTCCAGACAGGTGGCCCCAGCTCACACTCCCGCGTCAGCGTGTGTGGGCCTGTGCTTCTTTCCCACATCAGATCTCTTAGGCATTCTGATAGATAAAAACGGTATCTCAAATGGTGTTTTAATTTGTAATTCTTTACTTACGAGTAAGGATGAGCATCAAGAATAGAGCGCGCCCTCTTCTTGAAAACCCTCTGGTTAGAATCAGCTCCTTTCTCGCTTCAAACACAGTGAGGTCAGAGCACTTGACCCTCCAAGAATGTCACTTTTCCTCATAACTTCCTTATCATAGCTCTCATCTCTAAGGCACCTGTTTGACTGCAAAACAGGGAAGCATTAGACATTTTGCCATGAATCACAGAACAGTTTCTATTGAAAACATTTCTGATACTTAATTAAAAATTATCTTGAAGGTACGTTTGGATTAGCTAGAGCAAAAGTCTTGCCACGTGTAGCTGATGGCAGTGGCAGCAAAGCAGCTTCCCTGGGCCCTGGAGGGGGGCATCTGCTCTGAGTGGATTCTGAGGTCCTGGCTCCTCTAGCAATCCCGGAGCAGAAAGGGGACTGCTTCAGCAAATGAAAAACGTGCTTTTGTCTCCCTTTGTTTTGCTAAAGATGCACTCAGCTAAACATGAAAGTGGCCAAACTCACCACTGAGCTCAAAGAGGAGCAGGAGATGAATAAGTGTTTAAGAGCCAACCAGGTCCTCCTACAGAATAAGCTAAAGGAGGAGGAGAGGGTGTTGAAGGAGACCTGTGACCAAAAAGACCTACAGATCACTGAGATCCAGGAGCAGCTGCGTGACGTCATGTTCTACTTGGAAACGCAGCAGAAGATCAACCACCTGCCTGCTGAGACCCGGCAGGAGATCCAGGAGGGACAAATCAACATTGCCATGGCCTCGGCGACCAGCACCCCCTCCTCCGGGGGCAGTGGGAAGCTGCCCTCCAGGAAGGGCCGCAGCAAGAGGGGCAAGTGACCTTCAGAGAACAGATGCCCCCAAGACTGTTCTCCCTGGCACCGAAAGGGTGTGCTAGAACTTTCAGCTGAATGCGGGGGTGGACCGTAAGTAAGTACATCAAGTGAGGATCAAGCCACGATTGTTTGGATCTTTTCTTTCCTAGCATGTGGTTTAATGAATTAGAGGGTTGATGACTCGGACAGCTGAAGGTAATGGGCAGGCAGTATTTGAAAAGGTGGCTGCTTTTCTCAACCTTGATAGTTCACTAACCTCAGACATTCTTATGACCATTTTGCCTTCCTACTTGATAGATGCCCCAACTCTGCTGTGCATTTTTCCGTTGTATTTATTGAGTTGGTCTATTTGACACTCAGTCCTGGGGTCAGTTTAAGACATTAATTTTTTTTCTTGGTCACTTCAAAGGTAACAATACCTAGCACTCAGTACCGAACCTCCCTGAGGTCTTAGCAGCTGCTTTAACGAGAGGTTCCTATTGAGTACTGAGGTGTTAGGAAAATTCCCTAGCATTAGTCTCCCATCACTGTCATCCACCATTTCCTCTGGGAAATTGAAGAATTGTTTTGCTGTTTTCTGAAAAGAGGCTGGGCCTGTTAGCCGTGCACTGGCTTGTCACCAGCAGCCGTCTCTTCCAGCTCTAGGGCTGGCCAGGAACAACAACGAACCGGGGGCAGAGTCGACTCCGGCTCAAGGAAAGGGGGGCATTTCCACTTTGTTTATTTTTGGTGACTCCACACGTCCTTGGGAACCTCAAATGAGGAGGCTTAATGGTTGCTCCAAGATTTAAATCTCAGAGTGGACTGCCTGGCGTCTAGCAAGAAGAAGAGGGCAGGTTCATCATCCATGTGAAAAGGTAGAGTGAGGCCTCTGACCAGCTTGTTGTCTGTTTTGCTGGGATCAGTATTTTCTGGATGTTTATAAAAGATTAGGCTGCATGTTCAGAGTAGAACCATGCTAGAGGGCGCTTGGGCAGATTTTCAGTTATGTTTTCAAGATAGAACCAAAGGCTGTTTCTAAATCTGAAAATTAGAATTTTAACAGAGCCACCTGTAAAACTCTCATGCAGTGCTTGTGGTGGGCCAACAGAGGGACGTACTTCTTCTAGAGCCATAAACGTCAAATCATTTGTAATATTCAGGAAGTAAGCAAAATTGAAAGAAGACCGTGTTGGAATTTAGCTTCAACAAGAGATAGCTGGGTAGCTTAATAAGACATTCTGTTAAACGGTGGATGTTTTCTTCCTTCTTTATAATTAGCCAAAGTTTTCAAATGATCACATTTCAGAATTGTTTTTTTAGCCTGTAATTGGGCCTCATTCCCTTTGACCTAAACGTCTTACATGCAACTTTTTAACACACAACTGCATAGTCATCACCATGTACTTCTGTGGGATGAGCTGCAACATCTCCCAAAGAACCTTACCTGTATCTTTGCAAAACGAATGTACTCACACATTCTCACTTTTGACATAGGACAGACCAACTCTGTAAGTCCCCCTTGGACTTGTATACAGATATCTTAAAGAAAGAGTGGGGATGTAAAGCATAACCTAATTCTCTTTCCTATAGAGATTCTATTTTATTTAAAATCTATTTTTACACTAGTTAGAATCCTGCTCTTCTGGCCAAGTACTTGTCTTGCATGTCTGACCTTGCAGAAGCTGGGGTGGATTGCAGCATACTAATTAAGAGAATTAGAAATAGTGTACAGAGCTGGCTCACTCCTCGTTTCTCTGAGACTGCCTCTACCAGCAGCTGGGAGGGCAGAGGTTTTCCGCACAGGTGGGATAAATGCTCTGAAAGGCTGCAGCTAGAGGAATGAGCAAATAGGCATATGTTTCCAAGCTACTTGAAGGTTAAGGAAAAAAAACTAAGAAAAAAAATTTCGAGGTATATAAAGAATATGTTGTTGTTTTTTAAAACGGTCATAGTCATGTGTTTTGAATTTGACATTATATAAGGTGGGGGCTGGTTAGTGTTTTCTTCAGGATGGAAATGAACCACTTGACATACCCATACTACCTGGAAAAATGAAATTGCATTAAAATAACCAAACTTTGAAATGATTCTGCCCTGTGTGAAATTTGTGTCTCTCTGATTGACATTTGCTTGGGAGCATGTAGCTAATAATCCAATGGCCTGGATTTAAAAAGAAGTCTAAAAATCAATAATGTGTGTAGTGAACAGCTTGATGATTCATCTTTCAGCCCTTTCGCTCCAACTTCCCAAACTAATGAAAAGTAGCTGAGCCAGATTCAGAGTTGGGAAAATTGTCTGAATTTGGAGGCTTGGGGCAGGGGAAGGTCCAGGCACACAGTTCTTTTAGAACTGAAAGTAATCAATTTATAAACCTGAGAATTTTTCCCAAGCCCCAGCAAGCTGAGATTGTTTTATTTTGGGAAATTGTCACAAACATGACTGTTTAGAATATGTTGAGTTACATAAAGCACCAAACCAATTACCCCCTCCCTGCTTGCTTTTCGGTGTGGTTGTCTTCATCAAAAAGGCTGAGAGACTGATTTAAACAGTCAGCCAAGAGAGCGTGGAGAACTTGGCAAATCACAAATGGACAGCCTTCTGCCATCACTTGGAAATCCCTCTTCTAATACAGTTGGGATGCACAAGCTGAAGATGCTAGCCACAAGATTTGGCTGTGGCACATGGTGCCACGTCGTGTGTGCTGATGGCATATTTTGGCTCGTGTGATGAAGCCCGTGGGCTTATCTGGAACAGGACAGCCACTCTGCTTTCTCAGGGATGGCGCTGATTACCTCTGCGGCACAGGGATCCTGCTGCATTGCTTTCTGTTGGCAGCAGCAGGGAGATGTTTCACTTTGCAGAAGGGCTCCAAGGAGCCTCTTAAGAACCCGCTCCTGCTCCTAGATGGTGTCAGGGGACACCTAAACTCCCTAGAGACCCAGCCGTCACCTTCAGCAAGTTTAGGAAGCCACTGAATGTTCTTCGGCAGGTTCTGCAGCTGGCTAGGCCTTTTCATTCTTGCCTGTGAAAATCCGTGAAATGGGATTCCTAGAAAGTCTGCAGAGTGGCCACCGCAACAGATACAGCATTTAAAGTTTTAAATGAAGGAAAGAGTGAAATAATAATAGTGAGAAAAGTCTTTGCCTTCAAGAACCCCTGGTTTTACCCTGGAGTCAAGGCATAAGTCACCTTCCCTCCTGCAATGTAAAGTTGATTTTTTCTCCCCGAATGCTATACTGTTGTCTGCCTGGAGCAAATAGAGGAGGAACATTCTTTGCATTTGTGCATGAGGGCAAGTTACATAAGGCTGGTTTTATTTATTTATTTATTTATTGGGTGGGGATTTGTGGGCAGGAGAAGGAAGCCTTCTTCATTTGGATTAATGTCACAAGCAGCTCCTTTCCACCCTCGTTCCAGTTTTTCATGGTAACCCCTCTACCTTGCATCCAGGAAATTCAGGTGCTCTCCTGGAATGCTCACAAACACTTCAGACAGTAGGTTCTACCAGACAGTAATTCTGCAAGCTGTACTTCCAGAAGCCGAAACTTACGAGATCATTCTAGCTAGTATTGTTTTCATAAGTATTGAGTGGTTTCACTGCAGTTCTGTAATCTAGGAGAACATGGAAGGGCTCTGCAGTTGGTTCTTAATTTGGGATTTTGCTTTCTTGCTGCATCAGAGATGACTGTGGTCTTTGGGGCCTAATGTTGAATTGCTTCAGGTCAGAAAACTTTTCTCTGGAATCATCTAGAAAATGCAGTTTGGGCACTTGGCACAGAGCTACCCTGGTGCAGATAACATTTGAGTGAACTAAAGCAGCTTTGCTTATTTTCAGACCATGTTCAAAATCCCTTGACCCAAGATTCTTTTTAGATCCGGCCCCGAGATTGCCTCTCGAACATAAATGCAGGGAAGTTTGTACATGGTGGAAAGTCAATCAGAGAGAAATCACCTGTGCGGTCCTGTAACTTGAATGTTTACAGTAACCAGGATAATTCCACTCTAGGATAATGAGATTGATGGTGTAATTCTTTTCAGTAAGGTAAAAGTAAACTTGTAGCACTTAGCATAGTTGTCAAATAGAAAAGGCAGCTCTGACTAGGCTTCAGAGCTAGTCAGCTATCTTGCCATCTTTTGCCCGAAAGAAGCAGCAGGTCCTAGACCAAATCCTGCCTGTTTATTTTCTCATTTACGGAGGAAGAGCCCACTGAGACCCTCTGGTATCGCTTTATGATTCTAAATCCTCCGTCCCTTGGTTACAGTCCAATAGGCAAAAAGTTCAGCTCTTCCCTAGAGGATCGTGAAAAGTCAGGTCCTATTAAAAGAATGAGGTGTTTCCACAACTTGAGAAAAGTTGCGTGTATCACTTTACATCATTAACATAGCACTTAGCACCCAAAGACTTCAGTGCTAACTGAAAAAGAAGGAACACAAACATTTCTGGGGAAGAACAGATCCCAGAGAAAGAAATAGAAGTCAAGAAGAGCAAACGGAAAATTTTAGGAGAGTTGCTCTCTTGGAAACACTCCAATGGAGAGGGCCCAAACTGACTTATCACACAGAGCCAGAGGGTCTTCCAATAGCATTTTCCAGGAATTATCTTTTGTGAAAGACCCGACCTTAGTTGTAGCCGAGCCCACGCACATATTCTAATGGATTAGTTGATGCTCATGTGGAAGCTGTGAGCCCAAAACGGTCTGCAAAAAGCACAGCAGTCGGAAAGCCACGTCACACCTCCCCCACTTCCCCACCCCACCTGCCCTCGGGAAAAAATTAAAAATCCTTTTCCAAAATGCATGCTTCAGTAAAACAGCTTCATTGCATTTGTTTCCATGCTGCAGGAAATCAACACCAACTGGCTTTGATCCCAAACAGGGCCAACTGCAGGATGCTGAGGGTTCTGCAGCCAGGAAGAACGCTGAGGCCTGCTCTGTCCACCCTCCCCCAGCACATTTGACTTTAATTATATGGGAACATGCCTGGGCCGGGGGGCTGCTGCCAGAGCTCTCCTGGCCCCAACAGGGGAGGCCCTGTGCTGTGGCCCAGAATCTTTCCTAAAAGTCCGTACAGTACCACTCGGTGGCTGCCAGTCCGGCACTTTCTCTTTGGCGAGATTCCGGACTCTGCTTGGCCAGAGTACCGGAAAGCTCTCTCGTCCCTTTCTTCCCATGTGCTGGGTTCTCTTCTCCCTGCAGCTCCATTGTGCCTCACAGTTGTAAACAAGAAGGTTCCAGTTGCTTTCAGAAACAGAATAATCCCGACGGATACCCTAGACCAATCCCCTCTTTTTTATGGCTCTTTTATGGCCCACTGGAGAGGGCTGCCTTTTTGGTGAACTCTCACCAAACAGTTTTCTTTTCACCTTCTGAGCTAACATTCTTGTGGGAGAGGGAGGTGATTGCCCCTTACGAACCCTGATTGGATCACTGGCAGCTTGTGGGCTGGGAAAAACCTAGAAGGACATCTTTGAAGAGACCTCTTTTCCAGCACCTGCTTATCCCTGTTAGGCCAGAGGATCAAACACAGAGCTCTGTTTTGTTTGACAGGACGCAGAGCTGATACAGCCACCTCACACTTGCTGAGAATTAAAACTGGAAGGAAGTCGTGTCTTCTCTTTTGAGGTGCTTGTTTACAAGCCTGTTGTTTTTGTGTGCCGTCGAGTCGATTCCGACTCATAGCTGCCCTATAAGGTGGAGTAGAACTGCCCCCTTATGGTTTCTAAGCTGTAAATCTTCACAGGAGCAGATTGCCAGGTTGTCCCCTGCAGAGCGGCTGGTGGGTTCAAACCCCTGACCTTTCAGTTGGCAGCCAAGCATTTAACCACTGCATCACCAGGGCTCCTGCTTCCAAGGCTAGCTGATATTTATTGAGCTCCCATGTTCCTAACCACAGTCCCTGTGCTGAGCGCTTTCCGTGCCTCGTGTCTTTTCATCCTCAACACAACCCTGTGAGGTCGGTTCAGGTGTCCTCTCTTACAGATGAGGAAACCAAGGCTCAGTGAGAGACAGGACTCGGCCAGGGTCACAGAGCTGATACGAGATGAAGGCAATCAGTGCTCAGTTTCAGCTCTGCCCTTCCCCAGAGTCTTCTGGGCTATTCACCACTCTGATCTGCTTCTCCTGACTTTGGAAGTGGGGAATATAAAGGACACAGTCCCAGTTCCTATTTTGTTGCTCATGGTGGCCTCACATGTGTCAGAGTAGGACTGTGCTCCATGGGGTTTTCAGTAGCTGATTTTTTCAAAGTAGATGGCCAGGCCTTTCTTCTGAGGCACCTCTGGGTGGGCTTGAACTTCCAACCTTTCGTTAGCACGTTAACCATTTGCACCACCCAGGAACTCCTGCTTTGGGAAAGGAGAGCATTGAGTTAAGAGCACTTTTGTGTGAGTGAAAGCAGCCCTGTCCCCTATGCAAGCCTTCCCTCCTTTTCATGTAGCTTTCCAACTTATCCTTCTCTTCTCCCCCACTTCACTGGGGCCTGAGGTAGACCTGATCAAGAAAACCACTCCAGTGCCTCCTCCCTCCACCCTCCATCCTCCCCCCACCACTGCTACACTCAAGGGCGGGCTTTGGGAAATCACTTCATTCCAATTGCCTGTCATGGCCCTTTCGCCCTGGGAGGAGTGGGACACCCCATTCTGAGCAACCATTGAAGCAGACAGCTCAATAGAACACAGAACTCCAGGGAAGCTGAGGTGATTTCCCAGCTGGAAACGTTCTGATCTTTTACTTCTGGACAAAACTCTCCAGACTCTTAAGGAGTCCTCTCTGGGACACTGTGGGCTTGGTTATTGCTCCCAGAGACATTATTAAGCTGGCATAAGCAGGCTAACCAGAAACTCTAGATTCTGGAGGGATCAGCTTAATTTGAGGCTTCAATTTATTACAGAATAAACAGGGGAGAGAGAAAGCCTACAACAAAATTCTTATAAACTACAAGGGAATGTGATGAAGCAGTGCTCATTTGGCAGGTAACAATTGGTGTGTGTGTCTGTGTGTCTGTAAGTGTGTACCAAGAGCATTTTCTTTTTTTTATATAATACAAAGTCTAATTTATGATATAGATCCAAGACCTGTTTTAGTGTTATATTATTCTATTTATCCTATCTATAATTATACAATTGGATATAATTATATATTCTAAATACTATAAAACAATAGCAAGAGCTTTATCTTTTAAAGCACAAAAATGTATTGTTTGTATTTTTTTTTTAATTGAGATATAATTTACATACAGTAGAATACAGAGCTTAAGTGTTCAGGTTCAATGCTGTATTGCCTACTGAATAAAATTCACTTGCTTGTTCTTCTAAAATTCCTGCATAAGAGGATTTTCCTGTATCTACAACCAGCTAATCTCCCGTAATAGGTGAACTGAAAAGCATCCATTATGGTGTCTATTTCCTTTTTGTATCTTCCATATAGTAGATATTAGATAAAATTTGAAAGAATAAGGAAAC